CTAACCTTACAACCTTAATTCCTGGAAAGCAAAATCCCCTCTGCATATTCTACAGAATCAGCTGAGGTGAGAAAAAAGACCTTGGGGATAGGGTGAAGAAATAAAAAATGCCCTTAATTTTTTATTTTAAATCAAAGTTTATTTATTCAAAACACTTCTGTATTTTGCTTTTTTTTTATTTTTAAAAATGCTGGTACTGTTACAGAAAATATTTTCAGTTGAAAAGGCAGAAACAAATATTGCTAACATTTCCAAAGAGAACAAAAAACTGTATTTTAAACCTTGAAAAAACAGAATTAGTTCTACAACTTTTCATGAAAGAGTTTTTCTGTAAGATCTAGAAATTAGTGGGATATGTCTTGAATTTCAAGGAGTGACAGTTCCATCAGGTTGTTATAGAAATGGTCATACCTTTTATGCGTTTGGCAAATTATAAGTATTGCCTAAATATAGCCTCATATGTTTGAAGGAGAAAATTTGATGGATAGCTGAGATTGGTCAAAAACAGGCATTTAAGAAAACAGATGAAATTTTACTTTTAACTTTGACTGTTGGTCTCACCAGTCATCTACTTCAACTACAAATGGTTCCTTTACAGCTGTTTTGCCACTGTTCACAATCACACAGTCTTGAATGGGCCGGTCATGTTCATCTGTCTGCTGGAGTTCTATCAAGTGCACCACAGACTGTTAAACAAAAACAAGTTCAGTTAAGCCAAAGAAATTCCAATGGCTAAAGTTTGGTACCATATAAACAACTAAGTCCTCCTAGCATCACTGTTTATTAACCAACTTCTGAACAAAGACCTTTACTCTGTTCAGTTCCCACAGGCTTTTTTTTTCCTGTTAAAAGTTATGCCACCCTGCAACCCACACACAGTCGACAGAAGCACAGGGAAGGCTGCTTGCCCTTCTATACAAACTTTCATCCAACAATAACATTATGAAGGGGCAACTGAAAATATACATTTTGCTGATCCACCCAGCACACACAGGGTTCTATCTGTAGCACATGAGCACAAAGTGAATCCAAGACCAGAAAGGACGAGCAGTAACTATTTTTCTAATTGTACAGCATAACTATGGATCCACAAGTCTGGTTACTGCTTTTACCTTTAGTGTAACACACACATACAGATTTTAAGTGTGGTACCATGCCCTCTAGTCAGACAGGTGCAGGTAAACTACTGGCCTCAAGCTAGACAATGAAACAAAGTAATCTTTTTAAAGGACAAAATTCAGATAGATTTTCATTTAGTCAGATTAATGAACAAATATTCAAAGCCAGGTAGTCAATCTGCCTAAATCTCTGCAAAACTTTTCAGCTCATGTTTTCCCCATTCATTTCAAAACACAGAGTAATTTAAAAGGAAAAGCAGATAAAGAAAAGTATAATCAGTTGAAAATACTATTTTTAAACTTAAAATTCTACTTAGCCTTTGATCAGTTTGGCAGCTGTGTACAGTTTGAGAACATTAACTAGATTTTTTTTTGCTTTTTAAACAGATCTGAATACATGTGTTATGCTTTACATTCACATGCTTCTGAAAAAGTGTTACCCATAACTAGCATGTGCTACAAAATTAGATTCTAGCTTGCAGAAATACAATTATTGCATGGCTAACAGCATTAGTGAAAGGAGGACTTGAACTTACTCCGTTTGTAATCTACAAAGGTATCATGCTGATTTCAGTGGTTAGTGGTCTGAAATAAGGGCTGTGAAAGCCAAAAGGATTATTTAAGCTTCCACCGTTTGCTATCTCGTCCAGTTCCAGGCTCTTCACAGTCATTTTCTACATGTCCATACGAGATGAACTCAATTGTTTTGCACTACAGTGGTGTCAGTTACAGCAATACAGATATAACATGGCAGAATTTGTATGAATCTTGCCACTACTTTCAACTTACCATTCCATCAAGGACTTTGCCAAATACTACATGTTTTCCATCCAACCAGGAAGGCTTTGTCACACTGATGAAGAACTGGGATCCATTGGTGTCTGGGCCAGAATTAGCCATACTAACCCATCCAATTCCATAGTGTTTGAGCTTGAAGTTCTCATCTGGAAACCTTTCTCCATAGATGCTTCTTCCTATGACAAAAAAAGAAGAAAGCAAACTTACAAAAAAAACCCAAACAAAAACCTCTCTTTGTTCAAAATGGGAAAAACAAAGTATAAATTCAGGACTTGAAGGTTCATTGTTTGAGCAAGCAGAGCAACATCACTGTTCCATCAGCAGTGATTCCGAAACTAAAACCATATAAAGAAAAAGGTAAGCTAAACCACCACATACAAGGAAAGAAGGGTTAAAGCTGATGATGCTTTAACCTTTGAATTTAACAAGCTGAGTACCTTCAAAGGTCCTACGTACAGACACCACTGAACAGTAGTGCACTTCATCCTGTTCAACAAATGTCAAGTACATAATTATGGCACTAACAATAAGGCTGCTGCATTTTGTAACAATTTCAGTATTTACAAATTTTCCTCCCAGTACAAAATTTCTTTAGACATGTTTAGAAACACATGAAGACCAAACAGAAGTTAGACTAAAATACTTGGTGTGGATTTGTACAGCCACGACAAAGATTTTGATGTTTCTAAACAGCTCAGAAAACATTTCCATCATATTTAAACCACCAATCACCTTGAAAAGAGAAAGCTGTCTGTCTCATTCTTCACTTGTGCAGTGCCTAGCACAATAGGGACACTGTTCCAAACACCATCGGATATTATCCCAATAAACAGTATTAGCAGGCAAATAAATGCTGCCTACCTTTATATAATGCTACAACTCTGGTATTTCAGTCTTCCCCATTGTTCACTGTGAGGAAAACAAATGTGTGTTTTCCATTCTATCCCAGCAGGGAAATCAATGACACTGCATGCAGACAGTTCAGATCGTAGCAGCTTGTGAAGACTGTGCATGTAAAGGAGAAGAAACATGAAGCCAGGATGCATAACACTGCAAGAGATGCTGCCCTGGGATTGCCCTCCCTCATGGACTGAACTGGGCTTCTGGCGACTAAGGAGGGAGAAGTGATACACACTGCCAGAACTCACACCACTATCAATTTCGTGGTTTCAGTTTTAGTAAGGGAAAAAAAGGGGAGAGCGCATGACCCTCACTTCCTAATTTCTCTCTCCCTGTTTTGAAATTTCCTCTCATAGCACACTTCAGAAGAGCTCAGAACTGGCTGAGCTGAGGGCAGAGAGGAAAGCCTGCTCCTTCCCTACCTGCCTTCCCTCTATGCGCTTTCACTGTTTCATCACGGGTTAGGTTTCTGCTGGATGACTTGAACTGGCTCAGGTGTACATGCAATCAGTGAGTGCCGCAGGGAAGGAGCGCTGTCACAAAGCCAGAGCACAGCAAGGGTGGAGACATCCATCTTTTGGAGACAGGCAGCTGTAGGAGCAGCTCAGATGGTCAGGTGGCTGCAGCCCCGCATGGAAAGCCATGCTTCTTGAACAGGACAAGTCACAGACAGAAAAGAGCTATCTGCAAAAATTGAGGA